GAGGCTCTTCAAAGTCCTCCTCATCATCGTTGAGCCTGCCGATCTCTCGCTTCTTCGTAGAGGGTTCGCCCCCAGGCTTGCCGGTGTTTACCCACGTATTCTTGCGTGGGCCACCTTTAACAAACTGGGAGAGCCCCCCCTGGCAAATCAGCTTTTCGATGGCTCGCTTCAACGTGACGCAGTCGTCTGTGTTGTGGGAGGTGTTCCTGTGATAACGGCAGTAGGTGCCGCCCTGATGGACGGCGTAGATCTCCTTTGCCGATCGAGGATCTCGCTCGATGAGGTCGTGCTCCTCGACATAATCGAGGATGGAGCTGACCGGATGAGTGAGTGGAATCTTCGGCCTCTCCATCCTCGACCGCGATACGCGGTCCTTGTTCTTTCCGCCAGAACCATGGCGGCCTTGTCCTCCCTGTCCTCGGTCCCCGGCCGAGGGTGCACATGTGGCTGGTGCGGCATTTGTCTTCTTGGAGGGGTGTCCCCCGTCTTTCTTGTGGTTGTGAAGCTCTTCGGCGTCAGCGTACAAGTTTCCTCGCTGAAGCGCCTTCAGATAAGACCTCGGTGGGTCGGTGATGAGGCTCCTCGCATACGGGGTGCTGCGGAGGGCACTTTGAAACAGGACCAGGAGGGTGCGCTCATCGGCCCCCTCGACCTCATCAGTCTCCCTCGTCCATCGGTCGATGAACGCCCGGAGTGATTCGTCATGCTGCTGCTTGACGGAGAGGAGATGGGTGAAGTACTTCTTCGCGCGCTTCCTTCCTGCAAAGTGAGTGAGGAAGCGCTGGGCAAGGTCCTGCCATGAGTCTATGCTCCCCTCGGGGAGTGCGTTGAACCACTCATACGCTGGCCCTTCAAGAGTGGAAAGGAACCAGCGGTAGAGGTATTCATCTGACGCGTTCACCATCAGCATGTTGTTTTGGTAGCGGCTGAAGTGCTCCTGGGGGTCGGAGCGGCCGTCATAGGGCTTGATGGTGTTTCCCCGGTACTTCTCGGGGATAGGTGCCGAGAGTACCCTGGCGGTGAAGGGGGTCCTCGTTCTGACCTGGATGATGGGGTCCCCTCATCCTTCGGCCAACTCCCTCTCAAGGATAGTGACCTTGTTCAGAAGGGCGTTGAAACCGGGATCTCTCGATGAGTTGCCGGTGGGTGTGGCGGCCAGCTGTTTGGCCTCCATCTGGGCAAGCCTTCGCTCGAGTTGGGCGATCACCTCGTCCCTGGGGTCTCTGGCGGCCATGGTGGCGCCCTGAGTCTGCAAGTGGGCTGCATGAGCCGTGTTGATTTGGTGACGGGCATCATCCTCATGCAGTTTCCCCTTGCCTTTGTCCAGGCGGGGCCGATCCGCTGTCCGGGATACCGACCCCAAGCTTTCCCTGGGTGAGCCAGGCTCACGCTGCCCAATCCGCCCCGCCATCCTCTCCGAAGCAGGCCGACGGTACGTGTCACCTAGCCTGTTAAAGGTTGAGGCTTTTCCACGCGCTGGGGTCGGTCCAACTCGAAGTGGGGAAGCAGGGTGGGAGTGGGACGACGTCGTGTCCTGGGGCACCATCCCCTCATCGTTGCCTAGCCTGACGGCCAATGGTTGGGGCTGAGGAGGCGGCGGCGTGTTCTCCCCCGTCCTTGGCATTAGTGCGCTGAGGACGGTGGGGTTCTGGGCCAAGCTGGCGATGATGGCCGAGAGCGCGGCCTGAAGCTGAGGGTCAACAGCAGAAGAGGCTGGTTGCGCCGAGGCATTGTCACCTTTCTCCGCACGCTTCTTGTCCATGTCGATGCGGGCGTCAGGGCCGCCTCCGTTGAGCTTGTTGCGTAGGTCTCCTGCGAGGTCAATGGCTTCCTGGAAGACATCCCCCTCGGCGGCCTTGTCGGCCGTAGCGTCCTCCTCATGCTCTCGGTTTTCCTGTGCTTGGTAGCGACGAAGGAGGCTATCTTGATTGTTCTACCTCTCAATGAAAGCACCAAATGATGGACTATAAGTCTAGAGAGAAGTGAGAGCTAGAGAGAGAAGTAGTATATTTGCTCTGTATTAATCAATCGTGAACCCTTACAACTACTCCCAAAGGGAGTATTTATAGGAAAAATTAGGGCTAGGCTCCCAAGTCTTGGGCTTGGGAGGCCCATCTAAATCAGGGCCACTAATGGGCCGGATACAAAGTACATAGAAAAGATTAAGTGTAAATCCTGTCCTGGAGACTGTCTATGGCCAACGAGGGCATGGCCGATGAAGACCCGACCGACTTTGTCCTCACTCGTGCGCGTCCTGAGAAATTTCCCAGGGGGTCACCCATCCCAAGACTACTCCCGTGCAAGCACGCTTAACTTTGGAGTTCTTGACTAATGAGCTCCCTTAAAAGGAGATGCACCTTATTGGTATGAGTAGTACTATTAATCAATTTAAATTAAATCTCAAGTGTTACAATCACCCCCACTTAGGAACGCAACATCCTCGTTGCGCCCATAAACCAATCTCAATCATATCCCAGAATCTTTTCCCCTGCTAATTGCCGCCCGATATCCAACGGATCAGTACACTGTCGCAGGGTTGCTCTGATACCATTTGTAACACACTGGCCCCGTAGGCCCCAAGGTAGTTACTTCTGACCTCTAGTACTGTCCTCACAAACCGCCACTAGCCTTTTCCGCGCACTTTGTCCTCACTCGTGCGCACCCTGAGAAACTTCCCAGGGGGTCACTCATCCCAAGACTACTCCCGTGCAAGCACGCTTAACTTTGGAGTTCTTGGCTAATGAGCTCCCTTAAAAGGAGATGCACCTTATTGGTATGAGTAGTACTATTAATGAGTTTAAATTAAATCTCAAGTGTTACAGTGGGCCCTGGGGTCCAGGCCCATATACTCCGTCCAGGGGCGGACCCACCCTAGGTCTAGGAGGTGCCCGTGCCCCTGCGGTGATTTATATATATATATATATATATATATATATATATATATATATATATATATATATATATATATATATATATATATATTGGAAAATTCTCAGGTCCAGCACCTCCCGGTCCGAACGCCGTCCGAACACCGCCGTTTGGGGCGGTTCCAGGTGGAATTTTTTGATGAAATTTTTTGAGCATGTTCCTCATCAAGTCTAATTTGTACATACCAAATTTAAGGTCAAAATTCGACCGGGAAGGTAGTCAAATAATTCGTTGAAGTTAACTGCGTTTTTCTATGTATAATTTGGCGCAGTTAACTTCAACGAATTATTTGACTGTCTTCCCGATCGAATTTTGAGCTGAAGTTTGGTATGGATAAACTAGACTTGATGAGGAACATGCTCAAAAAATTGCATCAAAATATTCCGCTGGGAACCGCCCCAAAAGCCGGTGTTCGGACGGCGTTCGGACAGAAAAGTGCTGGACAGAAAAGTTATGCCGATTGAGACTTATGATGTTAATATTAGAGATGAGTTGAGGAGACGTTATTTGAGAAAAGATCCTTGCCAACCGCGTGACTTTAAATTTCCACAAAGTAATTTTAATGGGTGCAACAGATCATTCCAAAAACAGTGGTTTTATTTAAATTTTATAGTTTTGTTTATTGCTATACTCGTGATGCATATGATTTTTTTCTAGACTAGTATATCATTTCTTTGTTATTGTGCCCCTGCGAGTCACGAGTCCTGGTTCCGCCACTGACTCCGTCAGACTCCTTTGGACCTTGACGGACACTAGCAAGGTAACTAAAGTGCCGCTTTGGGGTGGTTCTTGAGGCGAACTGCGCTAAGAATAACGTAGATAGTTCGTCAAGAACCGAGTGAGGAACTCAGCCGCAACCGACTAAACCACTCCTGAGCGGGGGCTCGGAGCGCACAGAAAAACAATCTGCAAATGGCCTCATCGGTGGCTCCCAACAGCATAAGCCCACCCTGATAACTCATTAGATGTGCATGGGGGTCTCCTACCCCATTATGAAACCAGGCCGGTCGGAGGTTTACAATCCCTCAGAATTTCAGCGGCCATGATTTCCTCCGTGAAGAGAGAAGTTTTCCCAATACGAGGCTGCAAGGGCGTCTTGTTCTGTTGAGGAGTCAGTTCGTCAATTTGTCTTTGCATTGCAGCCAGCGCCACATCCTGTGTCGTTCGGGTAGGTGTCACAGGTTCCATCATCTTTGGGGCAAACTCTGTTCGGGCTGCAGCGGTTTCCTGGCGTCTTTGTATGAAACGATCACCATCCCCTCAACGTATTGGAAACGTTGGCCCACGGGGTTCACCACGGGATTTGGTTCCCTGAACTGTGCCCCATCCTTGGGTACGAATGACGATCGATCTGTGGAAGTATGTTGCCTTTGTCTGGGCGAAATTGCCCTCATGTGACATCCCTTGCCCATTCGCGTGTGAATCAAGGCTCGGAAGGACTCTGCCTCACTAGTTCGTGCATCAAATGATTGCATACGGCGAATTGGAGAAGGAGATGTACATATGGTCTCTGCTATGTAAACGGTATGCTCATCGTCTTGTTCGTCAGCTAGATGATGCATGGTCTCCGCCAGTTCCCGCATGATACATGGGTCTCTTCTAGCTTATGAGGGAATTAGGTCCATGACGTCTCCATCTCTCCTACTGCTTTCCGGTTCCTCAGAGGTGTCATAAGCATGCTCAGATGAAATTCTAACCATGTTGTTGTCGAGTTGTGAGATACCGCTGGGGAGAGTATGTTGCTTGGGATTTTAGTTCAAGGTTCCCACATACGACGCTGGTGTTCAGGTTAATTCGTCTAGATCCAAACGCCCAACACAGCCTTTTGAATATCTTTAATATGCTTATGAAGGAAAGTAAAATGGGAAAGATTTGTCCTCCACAAAAATGGTTCAACAGCCCAATTGAATTAGAGTAAAGATGCAGATTGCAAGAAAATGGCCGAACGAGAGTACAGACCAGTTGTTAATCCAAGAGCCAGAGAATGATTATATTGCTAGTGAGTATCAAAATGCTAACCTCTTACAATGGAATAAATGTTACTATTTATACTAGAAATAGGTAGGTGGAATGGATGACGTGGCCAACCGTGAGTGGTTGACCCCTTTGCCATTTGAGCACCCATGCTTCCACTTGAGCACTCATACTCCAGCATTAAATGCGCCCCTGTCACTTGAAAGACCTCCCAATCAGCTCTTTAGCCTGATCCAATCAGCAACCATGAATTTCGTTTTTTGCTGTCAAGTGTTATATTCAACCCGTTCGGGAAATATCCAATTGCGAAGAGCCCGTCCAGGAGTCTACTGTTCTGTCTGGTGTTTGTTGGGCTCTGCTACTTCTTTGGGCTTTAGGGATATTTTGGGTCGGGTTAATGGGTCGGAACCTATTATCCCAACAAATGTCATGACTCTTTTCGATCAAATTAGTAATACAAAAATCATTAAAATTAGTAATACCTATCAAATTGAGAATATACAACTCATCATATGCATCATTGTATACTGCATGATGCACACAATATTAAGAACTTGCAATGGGCAATGCACAAAGTGCATTTAAAAGTGATTATTGTAATAAGTATAGGGGTTATTTCCTGAATATTACTAAATTAATGTTGATTTCCAAAAATGTGACCAATTTTACATTTGGACAAAAATGTGACTAAATTAAAGTGACAACCAAATATTCATGTAATCGTCCAATTTTCATGTCACTATCGGATGTCACTACTACCACCGCACGTGTCACTGTCGCTTGTGTCACTGACGCCTGTGTCAGTGCTATCACCGTGCGTGTCACTGCCGCCGCTGGTCACAGTGACACCTCCATAGTGACAACTCCACAGTGACATTTCTGTAGTTTTATCTCTACCCAAACTCTGGTCATAGTGACACCTCTGTCGTATGGCCACCGCCGCTGACGGCCATAGTGAAACAGAATTACTCCGGCCACTAGCCTCCGGTTAGTTACCATCGGGAGCGGTTAACTGAATTTTACGGTTAGCGACCACCACTGGCAACCACCACCTCCGGCCACTGGCCTCCGGTCAGTTACCACCGCCTCCCCAGTGGTTAACTGAATTTTACGGTTGTCAGCCACCACTGGCAACCACCACCTCCGGCCAACATCTGCAACCTCCGTTGTCAACCACCACACCCCAGCCCCTTGCCTCACCCACCCCCACTCCCCTGCCTCACCCCACCCCCCAACCTCACCCATCCCCCCTCCCTGCCCCCTCCTTGCATCACCCCTCCCTTGCCTCACCCAGCCCCAGCGGCCAATCCTCTAAACCCTAGCAATGGAGACCATCACAGAGGGATAAATCGAAGAAGAAGGGATGAAATAGCAGGAGGAATGAAATCACAAAGCTTCACTAGTCGTCAATGGATTCCAAGCTTCGCTCGTCGTTCATTGGAGCCATCTCCCACCAGTCGTCAATGGATTCCAAGCTTCGCTCGTCGTCATTGGAGCCATCTCCCAAGCTTCATCCTTTATTTTGAGCTCGCCGAAGTGGTGACTCATCTGGAGTTGAGCGGGTATGGAGCAGACACGACAGAAGATGAACAAAGCTTGTGAAGCGGGCGGCGTCTGCTGGTGTAGACGGTGAGATTTGTTGTCTTTGGCAAAGCCGGTGACGAAAGAAGATATGTGATGCATATGCGCAGAGCTGGTAGATCTTGGATGAAGATCCGGATGCCATGCGGGTAGTGATGGACCCGCGCCGGTTCTGTTCCGGTTCCAGGCTGGGCCCGGGCGGGTTTTTTTTGCAAATCCTTGGGCCCGGAACCGACCCGGGTTGATACCGGGTCAGGGCCTAACCGGGTCAGGTCGGGCCCGATTCAATGTTTTTTTTTGCTTTCTTGTTATCCTCTAACCCCCCCTCACCCACCCCAAACCTCCCCAAAACATCCAGCCCTACCCTAGGAAAAGAAAAAAAATGAAAAAACAAAAAAAATGACCCAGGCCTGGCCCGAGCCCGAACCGCCCAGACCGGTTCGCCCAAAACTGGGCCCGAGCCCGACCCGCCCGACCCGCCCAAACGGGCTAAAAGCCCGGAACCGGCCAACCAGTTCTGGTCCGATCCGGGCCCGCACAGTTGCGGGCCGGGCCGGCCCGGTTTAGTCCATCCCTACATGCGGGGGACCTGTCTAATTCTCACGTAAGACGAGAGTGGGGCGTCACTTTTTTGGGAAAACAAAAAGTAGTCCTATTTTTGGAATTAGAAACTCGGGTAGTAATATTAGTGTCATTGTTTCATAAATAAAGTATAAAATGTATATAAGTGCACCTTTATTTATTTATTTATTTATTTATTTATTTATTTATTTATTTATTTATTTACACTTGCATATTTACATTTGCTTATTTATCTTTATATATATTTATGGTTCACGATCTTTAAATTCAAATTTTTAGTTCTAAACAACTAGTCCAACTAGTATAATATATACTATACACACACACACTCAAAGATAATATTATGTGCTTGAATATTAAGTTTTGGTTATTGTTTTTCATGATTATTTTTGTGTACATATTTTTTGTGTAAGTGGTGAGCGGCCTTACCGGCCTATAAACATTATAATTAAACATGTTAACAATTATTAAAATTTTGTAATATTGTTTAAAAGGTGTTAAAAAGTGTGTATAATTTTGAAAAAATTAAACCCCCCGTCCCCCGGCCGGACAGCTCGGTGGACTACCCAACCTGCTTTTATGGTATGGATATGTGATTAGGCGTGTTTCCTGTGGGTCGGGCCGGACCTATATTACCAATATAAGTGAAAAAAAATTAGAAAATAGCTTACCCAAATCGTCTTTGTGCTTGTCTACGATCCACGATTTTAACAAATTCGTAAGAAGGCCCAACAGTTGCTTGATCTTTTAGACGGATCTTTTAGGTCCAAAATAAAAGGGATTTTTTCAGAAGTAGGCTGAAAAACAAAAATAATATCACTTTTATCATCTTTGATTTTTGTTTTCAAAAATAGACAAGAAAAATTTTTGTTTTCAAAATTAGCCTTGCACCTTACTGCTTGCTCCGTAGACCGTAACCATATATTACTACGTATAACTTACTAATCCTATATACTACTCCATATCACTTTCGTTGAACCACTAAAAAAAGGCAAATGTTCACACATAAACAAATCTGTATAATATGGATTTTTTGTGATCTTTGGGGGAAAAAATCGTAAATTTCAAAATCTGAAAATAACTGTAAAAATGTTTACAATAAAACAAAACAAAAAATATGTAACTTTAAAAAAGAGAACTATGAAAGTTGTAGGTAACTTTTTTATTTCTTACGATACTAAAACATGAAAACAAATTGATTTTTTTTATTTTATTGAAAATCAAAATTAGAAAAAAAATGTAAAAAACTATAAAAATGTTGAAGAAATGAAAAAGTCAGAAAAATAATAATAAAATTAAAATAAACATTATGTATAAGGAAATTTTAAAAACTGAAAAGGAAGAAAAAGAACAAAATAAGAAAATAAAAAAATGAAAAAATAAATGTACAAAAAAATGAATTATAAAAAAATTAAAAAATATACAAAAACACAAATATCTAATTGTGTAAAAAAGAGCATATATTCTATAAAATAAAATAAAAATATAAAATAAAAAAATCAAAAATAAAAATAGAAGAATAAAACAAAATAAAATAAAAAACACATAAAAAATAAAACAAAAATAGAAAACAAAAAATGTAAAAAAGTATTAAAAATTTCAGAAAAGGTTATAATTCCAAAAAAAATTAATTAGTAAAAAACGTAAAACATTGGAAAATATCACACATTTTATTGTTATTTTTTGTTGCATTTTGTTGCTTTGTGTTTCTTTATGTTTATTTTTGTTGCAGATCTTACATATTTGTTTTTTATTGTTTCATCAAGTTTTATTGTTGATATTCACAGATCGAAATTTATCAATTTAATTATTTATATATCAATACATGATTTTTTTTTATTTCAAGAAGGAGCAAAGATAAGTAGGAACCTAGCTAAATAAACAACTAAAATCAAATTCAAGTATAAACATTAACCATACGCAATACAATGCAACAACAGGGAACACAATGCAACAACAAAAACAAAACGCAACAAAAAGAAACAAATATAATGCAACAAATTGCATTTTGTTGCTTTGTGTTTCTTTATGTTTATTTTTTTTGCATATTTTGCATATGTGTTTTTTATTGTTTCATCAAGTTTTATTGTTGATATTCACATATTGAAATTTATCAATTTAATTATTTGTATATCAATACATGATTTTTTTTATTTCAAGAAGGAGCAAGGATAAGTAGGAACCTAAATAAACAACTAAAATCAAATTCAAGTATAAACATTAACCATATGCAATACAATGCAACAACAGGAAACACAATGCAACAACAAAAAACAAAACGCAACAAAAAGAAACAAATATAATGCAACAAAAAGCAACACAAAGAATCGATCTATCATAATAAATATATAATTCAATTTATTACATTTATCGAGTATGTTATTTGACTTTGCTTCCTTTGCTTCTTATCATATATTTTTTATACATCTTAATTAATACGGAGTACATAGTTCCCCAGATTCTGCTCTCTTGTCTTCTTTTTCTCATTGATCCTCTCAGTCTTATTATCACCATCACGTGCTTCTTTTCCTTTTATGCGTCTGCAAATAAAAATGCAAAGTACTTTAAAATATGACAATAAAATAACTAGCGTACTAACTGTCTATACCAATTCACTACAACACTTGGAAGCATACAATTATTATAATTGTAAGAGACCTAATGGCTTGGGAGATGAAAACAAAGATGAAGATATATTCATCGGAGAAGAAATGGAGCTACAACCACTTAATGCTAACTGTTACCCTCACCTTTGCGAAGTTGCCATTGCGACCAAGCACAGTCAGCTGACTCCCTTCGCCTTGATCTAGCCAACTTAAGTAGCATTAATGAACCAGTAGAAGATGGAGACACAACTCTGCATCTTTCCTGTTTGTATGACCAACTTCCATTTTTTCAGTTGTTGCTATAATAGGGAGCATATTTGGAGGTCAAGGATGCAGAGGGTGCTGTGGAAATATATAGTTTTCCCTCACCAATATCTAGCTCTCTAGATTTCACTTTCTAATCCACCTTGTCACATAATGATAAAGCTATGGAAAAAATGCATATATATTACACTGGAGTAAGTGAGTGGTGATGTCTTTTTCGTTTTAAGAATTTGAAAAAATAGATGGCAGTAAACATGTTCTGTGATTTTATATTTGGGGGAAAGTTTTCAAAATCAGACTAGCCATTGAACCGGTAAATATTATAATCATTGATTGAATTGGCAATGATTAGTTCTACTCAAAATTAATATATTTATGATATATTTGGTAATGTTAAACTACATAAACATAATACTCATAATCTTGAAGAATTAAAAGGTCAACTTCACTTATAAATGTGATAAGTCGTGACATACAACACTCACAATAACACAAAGTCATAAACCCAGATGATAGAATTCAGGGTTGAATTGGGATCTCTCAACTAGCACATAAGATAATAAAGCAGTGAAATAGCCCTCCAACCAAGAGCTTTTCTCCTACATCTTAGAAAAGCCTTTCTTAAAAGAATTAAACACAATGTTAATACAGTTAATCCTTTTCTATGAATTAGCATTAAAACTACAATTTTTTGTCCAAGCAAAACTATAATACTATCAAGAGGCTGTACGACGTGGAAGGAGAGGGGTTTTTGTCTAGGATTATTAATTTTGCTCAAAGCAAAATTAAGGAAAAAATCAGTCACAATGATAATTTAAACTATAATGAAATCTCAGATGGAAAGAATTCCACAATATTTCAACTGAAACCTGTAATTGAGAGTTGAATATAATAATCCAGATCTAGTAGTAATAACAAAGTAAATGTTTCATTAAAGATATGCTTACTGAGTCGATGTTAGGGCACTCCTTATGAAACCTTCGCACCTTTCCAGAATCATCTATCATTTTGGACTGCACGCGGGAGAGTTTGATCATTTCCCAGTTTGTTCTTATTTGACTTTGTGTAGGTCACTCCTTGCCTTCTTCACACCACTATAGAAACGGATTGCAAGAGGTTAGGCTCGATTGAGATGTTTAAGTGTGTGGTCATCATCTCGAAGATGACCGCCCGATTTAGATCTCCATGTCTGCGATAGAAATTGATTTTGGATTCGATTTGTGTGCGATAGATGGGAATTTGGATGCTCCGTGCTTACCGATTTTGCCATGTCGGGCTTTCTCCGAAAGAAGGAAGTGAGCCGCATGCCTGCGTCGGAAGAATTTAAGATCTGAGGGAGACTATTTTTGAAATAAAAACCATTGAACTAAAAAGGCCAAAGTCTAAAATTGAAAAAAAAAAGTACTCATGGGTCATAAACGAAATGCGAAGGGAAAAAGGAGTTCAAGTGGGGAATTTCCACAAAATAAAAAGATTATCAACATTCTTTTGACTTTTGAGATGTTAAAATAGAATTAATGTCCGGAAGAAAAGTAAAACATAATGATTACTAACTTAGAACTTATGAAAAAGAATACTAAAAATAGATGTTCACTAAAAATATCAAAATTTGTATCAAAATAACACAAGTAAACTTTGCATTGTTTTTTTGACTCAATAAATTAATAAAATAAGTTATTATTGATTGTTTGGTGAAATAATTTGGCCCATGCCCGCCCATCTAATATAGAAAATTGATCTTCTTTTCACTTTTCAGGAATGGATATTTAGGATGATATATTGTTGGAGGTGATGTTTTGTTATATAAACGTACTCATATAAATGAACTTTAATACTATTATATCTATGTAGTCGGTGTCAACAATTCTTTTTATATATACTTTTCTGTTTACATACTTATACACAATACTTGTGAAGACTTTCTCATTTTTGTGAATCACAGACAAAACGTATTTTGTTTGTGATAGACAAAACACCCTTTATCTGTGACAGATAAAAAAATGTTTTGTCCATGATAGACAAAACACGTTTTATTTGTGACAGATGAAAAAAGCATTCACAAACATGTAAAAAAAGTGTACAACACCAACAGTGTGAACAAAAATATTTTTTCATCATATATTCTCATACGTACTAGTAGTATTTACTGACATATATATTTTTCTATTTTCTACTTCTATTTTTAGTTCTCCAATTTCTTGTTTTTATTTTTCAGTTTTCTGTTTCTATTTTCTAGTTTTCCATTTTCAAATCTGAAAACATGATCATCAATTTTTTACCCAGTTTTGTGATCTTCCAGAAGACTAGCATGTTTACTTCACGGGTTACTAAATGGTGCTTATTAAGACCCGCGTTAATAAGCGACGCATAAAATAAGCAATGTTATAAGATCATGTTATACATATATAGACACACAAACATTCATGAACACAAATATATAATATAATATGTGGGGGCGATCACCTCGTACGTGTACCCATACTCCTAACCTCTACTCTGCCCCTATACCTCGTACCCCCACCCTACACCCTACACCCAATTCCACACCCTTGACCCCTACCCCTACCATTACCAAGATCTTACACTCTACCCATACTCCCCTAAACCCCTTCATACCCACCCATACCTACTCGTAGGGGTCAGGGTAGGGAAGGAAGGTATGTGGTGGGTGGGGTGGGGGTAAGGGGTATGGTCGGGGTGGGTGGTAAGGTCTAGGGGTACAGGGTTGGGGTGGGGTAGTGGGTGGGTTAGAATGGGGGTAGTTAGTAGGGTTGGGGTTGGGGTAAGGTAGGGGTATGATAGGGAGTTCGGATAGGATGGCGGTAGGGTTGGGCCGGGATCAGGGTGGGGCCGAGGTAGGGAAAGGGGTAGGGTGAGGGGTAGGATATGATGACAGTAGGGTGGGGGTAGGATGGCGGTACGAGGGTGGGGGTGGGATGGCGGTAGGGTGGGGCTGAGGTAGGGGCATGTGGGAAGGGATAAGGTAGGGGTAAGGGGTAATATACGAGGTGGGGGTAGGGTAAGGTGGGGTTGAGGTGGTAGGGGTGGCAGTAGGGTAGGGTGGATCGGGGTGGGACCGAGGTAGGGGCATGTGGTAAGGAGGTAGGGTCATTGTAAGGAAAAGGGTATGCGAGGTCGGGGTTGGGTGTGTAGGGTAGGGTAGGGGTAAGAGGTAAGATACGAGGATGGAAATACTAGAATGGAATCGACATCGGAGCGGGACCAGACCCACCACTAGGTGTAAATATGCAAATCCATTGCAGCGGCCCGTAGCATCTGCGTTTTCCAAATTTGAAAAACTTGTAAAAGTCACTTCTCTAAATCATTAAAGAAAAGAGATAATGTCTCATTTTTTTCGTTTTAAAAACGGTTTTCATTTTCGTTTCGTGTTTTGTGTTTTCATTTTCGTTTCCTGTTTTGTGTTTTCTAGTTTATCCATGCTTGTGGCATCAAATTAAATAAGAGAGCGCACTATAAAATCGGGTCCACTTTCTCGCCAACAAGCAAAAATTGGAGTGCCTTTTGTCCAACTTCTTGCTCATAGCCTTCTGATTCGTAAAACTTCATGGAAGCTTATTTTCACTGTTGTTTCAAGCTTTTGTTTCTCTTCAATATCATTCAATCAGCACTTTCAGAAATCGTTTTTGAAGAAAGATTTGATGGTGAATAATAGTTGTCATTCTTTTAATATCTTAGATTTGAACTTTTTGCTGGTATTTCAACTAGTTGTCATTATTATTCTGTATGTATTCCTTCGGGTGAATTTCAGACGGATGGAGAGACAGATGGGTGTTGTCAGATTGGAAGAGGAGTGAAGGCAAAGCTGGAACTTTCAAACACACCGCCGGAAGGTGGGGGGGTGACCCTGACGATAAAGGTGTGCCACCGTCTTCTGCAGTTTTGTTCCTTGTTTTATACATTTTTCGGCAAATTGGAGTTCATTGTCCGATCATGTGAGCTCAAATTAGCTCGGATCAAAGAGGTGTTGACCTTGTGTTGACTTTGTATATTCTGTCTGAACGTTTACAGGTATCCAAACATACAATGACGCGAAGCATTTCGCCATATCTGCTAAGATACCGGAGTTTAGCAACAAGAACAGAACCCTAGTCGTCCAGTATTCAATCAGATTTGAACAAGACATCGAATGTGGTGGTGGATATATTAAGTTGCTATCTGCTTATGTGAATCAAAAGAAGTTTGGAGGTGATACACCATACAGGTTCGTGGCTTGTCTCCCGGATTTCAATTTTGGATCACAACCTCTCTCTCTCTCTCTTTGATTGATGTTTCCTTATTTGTATGGACTAACGAGAGATATAATGCATAAGTTTTCCATGGTTGTGAATCTAATCTCCTACAAGTTTATCAATGATCTCAAATGGGATATTTCTGAATGGGGTTGCCAAGTAAACGTGTAGAAAGCAGTAAAAGTGATGCTTCATCATAATATGATATTTCGACAAGCCTCCCTGTGCTTATTTACCTATAACCTACAATGAAAGCAATGTAGTTAGTAATTTGATAGGCAGGAGACTAGAGAGGTGAATGTAGTCATTCAGCTGCCCATTTTACTTGCTCTTTTACTACTCATAAATTGATCCAAGATTTTCCAGCACAACATTTATGTAGTCATTGTCTCTATGCAGTTGTATCATCAACCATTTTTACTACCTTGTTTACTACCCATAAATTGATCTTGTAAGATTTCAAACACAACATTTATGTAGTCATTGTTGTCTTTGTGCAGTCTAATGTTTGGACCAGATCTATGCGGCACACAGACAAAAAAGCTCCACGCCATAGTATCCTACCAGGGACAAAATTATCCCATCAAAAAGGATTTAGCTTGTGAGACAGACAAGCTAACTCATTTTTACACCTTCATTATAAGGCCGGATGCAACATATGCTATCCTCGTTGATAACCGTGAGAGAGAATCTGGAAGCTTATACACGGATTGGGATATCCTACCACCTCGTAAAATCAAAGACGTCCATGCAAAAAAGGTATACCGTGCAACTCACGCAGGGATGGACTTAGGGGGGCGCGGGGGGCGATTGCCCCCCTTGGAAATTGGAAAAAAATTATACCTAGTATATAAAATATTTTCATGAAACTTTCATAAATTTATTAGATACACACTTAGTTTTGAAAATTGATTTTACAGTTTTATATAGTACTTAGTTGCAAACTTTTAATAAGAGAAAACATGAAACAGTTTAGTCTAGTTTTTGTTTTCTTGATGAATATCAAAGCTACTCCATATTTATTTCTTGATTTGAACAAATAAATAATAGAAAAACGTATTGATCTGAGATTTCGGATACTAAATCTATAAAAATAGAATGCTATTTTTTGTAAAACTTCAGGCAATATGGAAGAATAACATAGATACTAGTTTACTAGTTTCATATAAAGTTCAAACAGTCCAAATAACAACAACAAACAACAACAACATCCAAGCCTTAATCCAAATATTAAAGCTTTTTGCAACTGAAGCACAATAAATGTAGTTTCCAATTTCTTTAAAAGACCATATTTATTTTAAGTAAACCCTTTTAAGTATTCTACCGTTAGTACACATAAATATTCACATATTTCATAAATTGATAGTATTGAAATAATACAACATAATATTATACTCATAATCAAATAATGTCATATGTACTACTGTAAAGTTACAAACACACCTCGTGGCCTACAAACACACAAACTAAAACACAAGAAGAGTGTAATTCAAGAATTTGGTTATTCACTCTAGCCAGATTCATGTTGTTGAAAAAATTATTTATGCATATTAAATACTTTATCATCAAACAAGTTAATAACTTTCTAACAAGTTTTTGATAAACAAATATGGAGTACTTTTTGGAATCACTGCATTTGATTTTCCGATGCCAATTTTTAGACTATTTCGATTATGAAAACTGAGCTATTTTTACCTCATTGTGTGAATTTAAGGTGTAGTACTTTTAAATGTCCTGCTATATGTAATGAAAATAAGTTTTTATTTTTAATTGAAAAGGTACACAGAGTACTACTGCAACTGATTCCCCCCTAGTAATAAATCCTGGATGTGTCCGTAGTCACATACCGAACCACTTGATCTATTCTCAAGTTGCAACAATTGTCGTCTGTAACACTTTATCACGTCCTAAATTTTCAGTTTTCACATATCTCACCTTGTAATGCTGGGTAAAAATGTCAGAAGTTACAGAGTACATCATATCAATTTATGAATCATAATGTGTGAAAGTGAGGATGATATGAATAATATGAATGTTTAACATCTATGACTATTATGAATGTTTATGCTGTACCTAAAAATGATAAATGTCAACTTTTTCTTCATTTCTTTTCCAGCCTGCAGATTGGGATGACAATGAGTTTATTAATGATCCAAATGATGAAAAACCAGTTGTAAGTGATCTGATCTCCTCTCTTTATTATATGATAGTGGTGATGTGTATGTTAGAGTGACCATCTTATGCGAATAACATGTTTCATGCTACAGGAATATGATAAAATCCCATCAGAAATACCTGATCCAAAAGCTAAACAGGTCTGTTTTTTTCCTTACCTTTCTTTCCCTTCATAGTTGTTCTAAATGATTAGTATTCTTCTTATAGATAAATACTTAGTTTCCACCATTTTATACTCTCTAATGAAGTTTTTAAAGTGAATATCCTCTGATTTTATATATGCTGGGAATGGGAAGAACTATGGCTGCATATAATTGCATTAGTTAATACTGGAATGAGTAAACCTCGCTATTGATTTTGTTAGTCTTTTCTACAAAGTTGGACAAATTGCTATACCCAAACAAGATTGGGAGAACCGTCCTTAACTCTGACATTGAATTTTATTATCTCACATAGCCTGCTGATTGGGATGATGAAGAGGACGGAACATGGAAACCATCCAAGGTGCCAAATCCAGCATATAAAGGGCCTTGGAAGCACAAGGTTTCGTCTGTCTGCAATTATGGATAATGTAATCTCACACTGGAATTATGATGCTCTCTAAGCTTTTAATAACTTCCACTTTTGGTTGCGGTTACAGAAAATCAAGAATCCTAACTACAAGGGTAAATGGAGGACTCCTTGGATTGATAACCCAGGTGAGCCTAATGCTGTTGACTCTAATTTCTCATAACTTCAGGGTACATAACTTTTGATAAAAGGCACACACCAAGCACTCCATGCACTAACAGCTAAACCAGAAACTTTCTGAGCTGTAATCCCATTCTTCCTACTCAACAGTACCATCAGTAGTATCTGTTCTAATAGCTAATACTATCTTTTTTTGGTCAAGATAGCTTATGTAGTACTATCTAGTGCTATTTAAAGGTTTAAATTAAATATTCTCTCTTGCCGCAGTAATATCTGTTCAATTTTCTCTCTCTTTTTTAATACTCTTTTACAATAAGGGCCTGATTGACAAAAGTGACTAGGAAGATGTCTTACTAGTTTAGCAGAAGAAAAAGTTCACTTCACAATATCAATAGGTGACCTATTAAGTGAACAGAAGGGGGGGGGGGCTTGTCACGGATATAACAATTCCAAGTGTGTGTCTGAGTAACTCTGGCAGAGTAAAGAGCACATTTAGTTACATCAGGGCTCAGAACTACTTTTCATGGTATCATGTGTGTATTCTTCTCTGCAGAGTTTGAAGATGATCCTGATCTCTATGTATTAAAGCCTGTAAAATATGTTGGCATTGAAGTTTGGCAAGTAAGATATACAAGTTACTCGATAAGAGCTTTATGTGTCAAAGTTTCAGTTATACGTTTCTAAGTTCTTACATTGTGCCTATGACAATCTATTCTCATGTTTGTGGATATTGCAACAGCTCTAAATAATATTGCCATTATATATAGGTAAAAGCTGGCTCGTTGTTCGATAACGTTTTGATATGTGATGATCCACAGTATGCCAAAGAAGTTGTTGATGAGATATTCGCAAAAACTAGGGAGGTGAGATTTTTTTGGGGGATTCTTCAATGGACTCACTGAAGAACCTGATATATTTTTGTTAAATGCTGATTACTCCAGGCTGAAAAGGAGGCATTTGAGGAGGCAGAGAAAGTGAGAAAAGTTCGAGAAGAGGAGGTAGTTACCCGTGTATCTTCATGGGGTTATGCCTTCTATCCTTGAGACACCAATTTTTTAGCAATATTTTCTCGAGTTTATCTGAATAATGAAGTATGTAGGAAGCAAAGCGAGCAAGAGAAGAGGGTGAGAAGAGAAGAAAAGAGAGAGACCTTCGCTACAAGCGCCGGAGAAGGGTATCCGTCTTACTTTATATCTGTTTTTACTTTTTAGTCTATCGTGCCATATATTTCCATCATTTGCAATGGAGCCAAAGATTCATTATTTTTTGGCTTGAGGTTATGATGGAATAAAGCAAAATGGCTCACTAAACTGTCTGCGCTTCTTTGTTATGGAGCAGCAGTCAGTCCATGCAATCTTGGACGCGATTTTCACTATGGGTCATCCGGAAACAGTCTCTCCCTGTTTTAGTACAGGGGTAAGACTGCGTACATCCGACCCCCCTTACCCCACCGTAGGTGGGAGCCTTTGCGGCACTGGGGTAAATGAAAATGAAAATGAAAAGTCTATCGTGCCATAGTTATTTAGAAAATTTTAAGAAGTAGATTAGTAAACTTGAATACTGTGCTGTTTTGATTCAAGAATAAGTGTTTGTCTGATTGATCCGCCCTTGCTATTTCTTATTTTTATTTAATTATGTCAGATTATTTGATTCCTTAGACCTTGTTTGGTTGGAAAACTTTGGAGTAATGGAATGAATTTGGATGAATTTTGTATGTCTAGTTGGGGTGAGGTGGGGTGGGTGGAGAAGCTATTTACCTTTTTGAATGGGCAATCTTTTTTTCTAATTTCCTTTTGACCTTTTAAAATCAAATATGGTCTACAGTAACATTGTCATACATCTACATTATTAATATATATTATTATATTTACAGTTATAGAAAAAATAATTATATGACAGTGTCTATTCATGAAAATTGATTGGTTAATTTCGGAGGTGCTTGTGTTTTTACCTAGTAATGTAGGTCAAAGGTCTTTTTCAAGTTGCATTATACCTTTTGAGAACTGTTAAGAGAATTCTGAAGCCAATATTCTTGTCCAAGATGGGCTTATGGTTTTGGTTAGTGGCTTAGTGCCTTTAACTAGTTCATGACTAACTAGTTCATGAGTCATGACTAGTGGGTAGTGAGTCATGGCTTGAATATTTTAACAATAATCAACTAGTGCACCTGTTAAATTGTGTTATGAATACTAGTAAGCGCAAACAGCTTTACAGGCTAAGATTACAATACAAGTAAGAAGGATGGATAATAACAGTGCATTTTGATAAGTCATTAATCCTTTATAAATTTTCAATGAGGATCTAAGGTATAGTGGTGCAGAGTTATTAGTTGTCTTAGATCAAGCATGAATTTCCTTTGAGTACTTTTGATTGCAAATTCTTAATGCTTCAACTTATTCAATAAACAATTACTCCATATATAGCAGTATAGTAGGCTCCTTGCTTATGTACACTGGTGCGGGTGGTGCTGGTGATGTGTCATAATTATATGAATTCAACATGATAATCTTTCATTTAAAACTGAATTAAGATTCTTTTTTGTTTCTGACACTTGGCTCTTGGACTTGCAGTATGATCGGCATGATTATGTGGATGACTATCATGTAAGTCTACTATTCTTTGGTGTGATCTCAAATCTGAATTCTGATTAAATTTGACTTCTTCTTTTGCAAGTTTATTTGCTACAAAACTTCAATGCTTTAAGCATCGACTCCCATCGAGTAGTTTTCATTGAAACACCTCGGGTCCAGTTATACGATCATGGGTTGCTGTAAAAGTTAACACGATATCAACCCCCATCGCCACTAAATTCCCTACTTATACTTCTTCCTATGGACCTCTTAATACAAGTGCACGACAAGCCAAAAAAAGTACCTTATGGAATCAACATAAACACAATATATGTCCGGGCTAATATTGTGAAAAATAAAATAAGTTTTTTTATAGAGAAGATCAGTGAAAAATAAAATAAGTTTTTTGAAATAAAACCTTGTGGTCTTGCAAAAGATATTTTCCATCATTTGCAATGGAGCCAAAGATTCATTATTTTTTGGCTTGAGATTATGATGGAATAAAGCAAAATGGCTCACTAAACTGTCTGCGCTTCTTTGTTATGGAGCAGCAGTCAGTCCATGCAATCTTGGACGCGATTTTCACTATGGGTCATCCGGAAACAGTCTCTCTATGCTTTAGTACAGGGGTAAGACTGCGTACATCCGACCCCCCCTTACCCCACCGTAGGTGGGAGCCTTTGCGGCACTGGGGTAAATGAAAATGAAAAAAAAATGGTCTTGCAAAAGATACCATTGACCCCTTTAAGAATGTAAACATGGACTCGAGAGAAGGTTAGTTATACAAATGATGACAACTACTTGGAGGTTGGAGGCTCGGAGCTCTGCATGTTTTATTCTTATAGAGCACTGAAATATTTTCTGTTTATGGTATGGCTTATCTGCACAAACCCAAATGATGGTTATGTTTCTTTGGGTAACCTTCACCCTTCTATTTCCAACACTTCCATGCATAATGAACCAGTTTATTGTATTTGTCATTTGCAGGATGAATTATGAGTGCTTCATCAATTTGCAGAAACTTGTCCATCATTGCAGGATTCTGATTTATTTTCTTCCTCCTAGATGGGCAGTGTTAATTGTTGTTGTAACATCAAGATGCCATACATGTGTCTCATCAATTTGCAGAAACTTGTCCATCATTACAAGATTCTGTTTTATTTTCTTCTTCCTTCTAAATGGCAGTGTTAATTATTATTGTTGTTGTTGTTCAAGATGCCATACATGTGCTAGCACAGAATAATTTATTTCTCCAATCTCAGCAGCCCTATGAATGAATGGTTATGCATTTGTGACGGTAAATCACTCTATCTTTTTTCTAGATTGGATATTTTATATGCAATGGGGCGTAGGAATTTGTGATCGGAGGGACGGTATAAAACAAAAATATACAAGCCTTATTCCTAAATGATTTTGAAATCGGCTAAAATAAAAAGTACAGAAAATAAAAAAGAGAAGCTAAGATAAAAAGAATAACATAGATAAATATAAGATAATAAGACATAAGAAAGGTAAAAGGTAAAAAAACATAAGAACATCAGAAAGATAAACAAAAAAAAAGAGAGAGAAGACACTAATCTTGCACACGAATTTCCGTCATTCACTTTGTTTTATACAAAGTCATATTTTCTTACAATCCAAGAAGAACCATATAAGTTCTTATTCCTTGAATTCATGCCTGTTTCAGTCTCCCTCTCCTTCTCACCTCTTCTCTCCATCTCTCCTATGGATGGACTCGGGTCGGGTGGCCCGACCTGGAACCGGCCCGGGACCGGTACTGTTCCGGCCCGGTCCGACCCGGTGGCCCGGTCAGTGACCGGTCCGGGTAGGCTCGGCCCGTGGGTTTTCCGGTCCGGGCTCGGGTCACCCAAAACAAGGTCCGACCCGGTCGGGTCCGGGCCAAAAACTATTTTTTTTTTTCAATTTTTTTTCAATTTTCGGGTTGGGCTGGGTATTTTGGGCCATTTGGTGTGGTTTGGGGGGTTGGGGGTGGGAGGGGGGTTAATTAGGAAGAGGAAAACAAAAAATATATATATATATAATGGGCCCGGCCCGGCCCGGACCCGGTGGTTACCCGGGCCGGTCCCGGGTCCACCATTTCTGACCCGCCGGCCCGCCCGGGCCTAGGCCCGACCCGGACCCGGCCCGGACCCGAGTCCATCCATAATCTCTCCACTTGTCTAAAAGGTGCAACACCCGGTTTCTATGCACAAGACCAAATTACGGCTATCGAGACTCCTACAACTTGTCTTCTATAAGTGCTAATTTCACCTTTTGTCTGGTTATCTTATTCTTCAAGAGGTCTTTTTCGTGTCAATACATAGAAACCAAACATCTACTAGATAAGACCAGACCAAACTAGACTTAAACTGACCAGATCATAGACTTAAACTGACCAAATCAGACAAGACCAGATTTTCATATTTTCATATTAATATTAGTTATATTTTCATATTATAACTACTAAGGCCTTGTTTGGTTCAAAGGAGGGGAGGGAAGGGGAGAGTCAAGGAGGGAAGGGAAGGGGAAAGAAGTATTTTGATTAAAAATTATGTTTGGTTGGAGGAAATAGGAGGAAAGGTTTAATGAAAATATTTTTGCAATTTACTTTTATTTGATAGCTTACTTAAAAAAATAGATACATGTCTAACTATTGTGAATATTATTCCTATGGTCATGAGTCATAATTTTATTTTATTTGATTGTTTACTTTTTTAATTTTATAATTTTCATTTTTCAGTTTGGAATTTTTAATTTTTAATTTTTATTTTTAGAATTTTATTATTTTTAATTTATAATTTTTAAATTTTTTAATTTTTTAATTTTTAAATTTTTTAATCTATTTTTTTTTAATTATTAAATTTTTTAAGTTTTCAAAACTTTTTGTTTTTTACCTTTTTATATTATAACGTTTTGTTCATTCACGTAGGAGATGAATAGTTTGTGGTTATCAACACGTTTCCTCCGAAATACCCCGATTTGGGGGGTTTAGAATGGGAAGAAGTGGAGAATTTTGAAAGTCTTCCACTGATGGATGGTGTACGCGGGGGGTAGCTTATCCGAAGGGTTATTACGGGGAATAACTAGAGAGAAGTCAGAGTAAGTAAGTAGAGAGAGAGAGTATATTAGAAATGTATTCAGCGTATTTGCTTCTAGGTTACAAATGAGGAAATGGGGTGCTATTTATAGTAGCAATAAATGTCAGACAGGGACACGTGTCAAGCATCCATTGGCCGAGGGGTCACCTCAACTGGTTGGCGCTGGCACTCGCATGTGGCCGCATTTAATGCGGCTGTTGGATGTGACGTCGTACTTGGTACGGTGATTCATACGCATGTGGAGCGGATATTATGTCGGAAAGGTGCCCTCGGCTGTAGATGACTAGCCGAGGGCTCCGAGTACCGGGGACCTCCTTAGTGCCGAGGGCTACTGATTTTCGCCGTTTTCTCCCAGTAACTCTGTTTTCCTGATTTGACCCTCCTGTTAGAATCAGAGCCTTCGGCCAGGGGGGCGAAGGCACCCCTGGTGCGCACTATGGGCCGCTTGGTACTCTGGGTGCTGAGATTTGGGCCTGTTGTGCTTCCTGGGTCTATTGGGCCTTTATTGGAGTAGTAGGAGTCTGTGGACCGGGGGTTCTCGGGTCATATACTCCATCAGGAGTCCCTCACTCCTTTTGCCGAAAGGTACTTGAGGGAAAAGGAGTAATTGTGTTTGTCCTCTGCCGTTGTTCCGTTGTAGTTTGTAGAGTTGTGGGTAGTTTGCTGTTTGTTTATTCTGCCGAGGGCAGTCCCTCAGTTACCCACATGTCGGGACTTGAGGGGTCATGTTTGCTGTTTTGCGGGAGTTTTTAGCATTTTGCACTTTTTGTGATTTTTCCCGAGGGGGGTTCTCCAGTCCCCCACTCCTTCAGGCACTTGCAAAGTGGTGAAAAGGAGTAGAGTAATCGTGTTGCTGTATTGGGCCGAAGGCTTACGCTTTTCGTTTCATTTTGGGGGGATGCCTCGTTAAAAACCCCATTAGGAAAAACCCTGTGGGAAAAATCCTAATGAGGGAAAAAGAGTGCACCGAATTCCCCCAACGATGAATCGAAAATGTGAAGCCCTGGTTTTGAAGTGAAGTACAATTTTGAAGCCGAAGGCTATCCTTGTTCTGAGGGATATGAGTAGTAATTGTGTGTTGATTAGCCGAAGGAGAGTCCCTCAATCTGGGGATCGAGGGCGTGATGAATGTGAGTAGTAGTTGAAGTGTTACTGGGGGGGTCCCCTGTTTGTTGATCAGTTGGTGAGGTGGATATCCGAGGGCTCCCGTTACCAGTGTGCCGTAGGCTATCCGTTAATGAGGTGTACTCCCCGGGGGCTACCTGGTCCTCAAAGTATTGAGGGGGGAATTCCCGAGGGGTGTGCCCGTTATGAAGCCGTGGGCTTCTGAAGGAGTGAGCCCGAAGGCATTTGTTATGTAGTATGAGGGGCATAAACCGGGAGCTCCTCTTGATGAAGTGGAGTGAAGTAAAAAGCCCGGGGGCTAGTTTCTTGGTTGATGAAGGAGTGGTCTGCTGAATATAGCCGGGAGCTCCCAGAATATAGTCGCTGTAAATATAGCCGTTGGAATACCTAACGTCAAAAATATAGCCGTTGAGGGGGGCTTCCACGTGGTGCGTGCTCGTTGGCCGCCCGTGGGCGGGTGTCACCGATTGGGCAACTCGTCGGTTGGCAATGATGATTTCGTACCGGAGGCCCGGTTTTCAGGCCCAAGCCCGGATTTGGGCGCCTATAAATACCCCAAGGCGAGGCCACTTTTATCTGTGCGATATCATTGTAGCGAAGCTCTGCCGGATTTTTCCTAGAGAGAGAAACACTTGCCTTCGATCTAACTCCCGTTCCAAGGTCAGTTCCCACATGCTCTTCTCCTCTCTTAGTTAGCTGTGCCCCGTGTCCTTAGATTAGGAGTTAGAATTCCGTAGGTAACCCTCGATTAAGAGTACTGTCCTAGTAGCTGTACCAAGATGTCGTCCCAGAGCAATTCCCAGGACATCTCGAGGGACCCTTTGGTTGAGGATGAAACTGCCTCCGATGTGGAGTCCTCCAGTGAGCAGCCTTCGGTGGGGCGTGATGCTGCTGTGGCGATGGAGTTGCAGAGAGCCATCGTCGCTGAGGTGGAAGCCGAGGGCTTCGAACAAGAGTGCGAGGATGAGGAGCTGGCCCTCGCCTGGCAAGCAGCTGAAGAAGAGGCGCAGAGAGAGAGCGCGAGGGTTACTGTCGCTGTTCTCCCCCCTCGCGACGCTGGTGAGGCCAGCACCTCTCGGCCACTGAACGCAGTCCCTCTGTGGGTGGCCCCCTGGAAAAAGAAGACGAAGGGCGCAACATCAAAGAAGAAAGGCAGTGTTGCCGACCAAGGGAAGCCTGTTGACATGCCCGAGGGGTATTCCTACTTGAATACCGCCGCCCTTGACATACGGTCGAAGGCTGATGGGGCGGACCTCTACGTTACTCAGCTCCATGTGGGGCCCTCGGTGATGGTAGTGCCACCGGGAGCTGATGATATCCTCTCCCAGGCTCCCGAGGGGTGTATAGTCGTCCATATCCTGTCGGTGTCTATGGGCCTCCGATTCCCCCCTGCACCCCTTTCTGCGTGAGTACCTTCGGTACGTTGGCCTGCTCCCATGCCAGCTCACGCCGAATAGCCATTCATACATCTCGGGCTTCCTCCACCTCTGCAAGTCCCGGGGGTAACGCCTAGCCTGGACCTATTCTTCCAGAGCTTCAATTTGTGCGGGGGGGGGGGGGGGGGGCATGCGAATAACGAGGGCTTCGCTAACTTGCAGCAGGTGGCATTGTTCAAACTGTTCACTGAAGCGCCTTCCTCCAACAAGGGATGGAAAGACCGATGGTGCTATGTGAAGCTGGCCGAGAGCCCCTTCCCGAGGGAGTTACGCGACCGGTTCAGGCGCCATGAAAAGAGGAGGAGCGCCGCCCTCGAGAAAGATGGCAGGATCCTGGAAAAGATCCCGGAGGGTCGGGATAAGAACATCACCATCAAGGAATGCACCCAGGAGGGGGATCTGTACGCCCTCGGGTTCCGACGGTACCATTTCCTGGGGGAAACAGACGAAAAGTACCCGGTGTTCGACGGAGCCTCCAGGGGTTTAGGAGGTAGGGCCGAGGGCTTCCAATCCTTAGACTTATGGATATTTTTATTAGGCGTAGACATTTTTTTGTTGCATCTTTTCTCCCCCGGTCTTAACCGCCCTTATCTTTTGCAGGTATTAACATGGATCTCAACGCCTTCGCCGCCCTCAAAAAACAGAAGGC